GTGTCGCGAGTATGTCGTCTGCATCATTATATATTAGTACATATATTATATTATATTATATATTATATATTACGTACATATAATTCTACTCTAGGTTCTCGAACTGCTAGACAACAATAGTTATCTGTTGATGCTTACAACTAGACCTGGGTCTGAAATCTAAAAATCATTCAACAAACACGACCGAGGTCCATTGAAAATTTCGCCGTGGCTTACGTTTTTCATTCATTTACTATTAACATTTCACTGAGTGAGTCACTGACACAACACAAGTCGAAGAAACTGCTAGAATAACATTCAGTATCATTGTTACCTGCTGCTACGCAATGTGATTTTAAAACATCAAAAACACCCCTTCAATTTTTGTCGATTTTTTCGTTACGTATAGCAGTACGACCACGGAGCAACACAGACTAGATCCTTCTGATAACAAATCAGGGAGTTTGATAGTAATTTGGCAGGAGGTAGGTGAGTGACTCCACATTGATGTCTACCCAGCGTGTTTACCGAGTATCAGAGGCACGTAGCTGCCGAGGCTGCATGCTAGCACGTCGAGGCAGCGTTGCAGGTAGTCGAGGTGATGGTCACCGGTGTCCACTACGCAGCACAGTCGCCAGTCTCTCTCCACATGCGCCAGCAGCCTACAATCACGGAGCCGATTATCAGTGCTGAGCTATCCGCCTCGTCGATACGAGACGACCACTCCCCTCTTGGATATTGTTGCTTGGTCAGTCCACCTAGACCTAGTTGTACGAGTTTACCACGCGTGCACGCAAAATTCACAACTTTGAATCACTTCACTGCGCAGCAAATTTACCTATCTGTCTAGGTATGATAACAACGTCCCCACCTCGGATATTATTGCTAGGTCAGTAAAGTTGGACCTTTTTGTACGAGTTTACCACGAGAGCACGCAAAATTGTCGACCTTGCAGCACTTCGTTACCAAGCAGTACATTTAGAGTGCCACGATTGCACTGCAGATTGCATGGCTAGAGCTACCTGTCAATCACTGCAAGCAGACAGGTCCACTATATGTGCAAGAATCCACACCTTGGTGGTTACAGGGCATTAAATTAGTCAAAATATGAACAGGCCCACCCAAAATTTTAACCAGGCCCTTAGATAAATTGAACAGGCCCTTACTGCAAGTTTGAACAGGCCCTTAATTTTGTTCAGTTTATTCCATTATTAATAAAAGTATTAGCTTTGTGTTTATTGGGCATAACCGTAGTATTTCAGTATTTTATCACTATTGCTATCAGTGGAGTTCTACTTGTTTGACAGGAATTGCTGGAACATGATCTACTTCATAGTATAGTCACTAAGTAAAAACTAGTCAGGAAATTGGTAAATAATGTTGATATAAAGGCAAGATAGGCACAATTTTGAGTAGGACAAGTGGACTGATTATATGGGGGGTTGAATCGGCAGTTTAGGGGGTTGAATCGGCAGTTTAGGGGGTTTAACCAGCGGCCGCCGGCAAAATAGCGCTAATTTCGCGCACTGTGGTTAATACGACACACAGCCGCACAGTCACTGGAGTGAACGACGTTGTAAACCCTGTGAACTCTGCACTCGAGGTCACGCACCTGGATTCGCAGACCTTTGCCAGCAGGGGGCGATGCATGTCGACGGCCGCACAGATGGCGAGGTAAGCCTTTGCGCGCAGCATCACCGTGGCACTATCCAGCTGCTTCACAAACTGCCCAAGCATCTCCTGCTCATGGAGTAAACGTACGAAACGCTCAGCAGTCCACACGCACTAATACATGCACACATCAATGATATGTACTCCTCCTACACACGAAGCACATATGTGTACTGCTAAGCAGTCGACACGCACACATGCGACAATGAGAACACACACACGACAACGATACATACACTGAAACCTTCCCTTAAAACTCACCACAGTTTTTGAAGGAAGGTAACTCAGTAGCCTACACACTATAGAGTTATGAGGACACATACACAGCATTGATATAGAACTGAAATCCGCTCCCACAATCTATCACAGCGCACAAAAGCTAACCGCTGGTAATGTCCATGTTGTCTGAAGTGGTAACAACATGACGACGTTTAAAATGTAACAACGAAAACCATTACGACATAGCAACACGCTCTCACCTCACACTCAGACAAGTGGTTTCTAAACACAGGCACAGTGTTGCTATCACCTCGGAATCTTGCGATTCATCCATGCAGACAACGTAACGTATTGAGCACAGGCTAAGTTCGGTACGTGTGCGAGTTAGACTTTACCATTCGCTGCGCTCTCACGCATCTCCGCGCAAATGTTTCACCGGGGTACGCGCGTGCAAGTATTCGCGCGCACGACGTGCGTGCGTGCGTATCGCGGCGCACCTATCCCATGCCCCGGTATCACACAAGCGCAGCCACTCACCCCGCTCTGAAGGAACCTGCTTGCCTGCGCGTGCCTCGTCTTCAGCACGCACACAAACATCGTCACGAGCAGCTGCCGGCTCTTCGGGCCGGCGTCGTCGAGCGCCTGCAGGGCTTCACGAATCCCAACATTCTCTATGATGCTCTGGAAGAGCTGCGGTACGAGGCGACAAAGTCGGCACAGCGCCTGCAACATGGTCGTGTGCACTGTCACGCGGACGGTCGTGTCCACTGTCACACGGACGGTCGTGTCCACTGTCACGAGCCTTGACACTGTCACACGCCTTGACACTGTCACGAGCCTTGACACTGTCACAAGCCTTGACACTGTCATGAGCCTTGACACTGTCATGAGCCTTGACACTGTCACGAGCCTTGACACTGTCACGAGCCTTGACACTGTCACATGCCTTGACACTGTCACGAGCCTTAACACTGTCACGAGCTTTGACACTGTCACGAGATTTGTCGCCGTATGCTACTTCTCGGCTTATGAAACCTGGTATCAAATGACATTTGCTAGCTATAGGCATTTGTCAACTGCAGTGAAGTGCAAATGACTAACTAGGGAACTTTATTCGAGGCCAAGTTTCAGCAGCTATAAAGTATCCTAAGGAGGCAAATTGTCAATTTGCAAGTGACAAATATAAGTGTCAATTATTCTCACTAAATAAGTCGAATTCACCAAATGACGCATGCCACCCAAAGAGCCCCGTTATCTATAAATACCAAGCTCCAGCTGTCACCGCAAAATTTCACTAAATGCTTTCTCTAACATAGGATCAGTTGTATACTGTGCGACGCACCTGCTCTCTCACGCCCTGATACGCGCATGGTAGCGCGCAAATCGCTAAAGCTTCACTAACCAAGACGGCACTGTAGCGCTGGTTTTCAACGGTGCTGTTCAAATGCACGTTCCACAGAAGCTTGGCGACCTCGTTCGTAGCAAATTTCCGGCAGGTGGCGCCACCCGTCACACTCACATTCTCGATTGTCTTCACAGCGGCGTGACTTAGCGTTGCATTCTCCTGCAGCCAAACTCAAGTCGTATTTTAGCATCCCAGAACACATCACTGTGAAGCAAGAACTCTGTGAAATAAATCGCCAAAGAAGCTTCATGACGTATGACCGTAATATGGTTGTTGTTCCACTAGTCTGTACTAACCTTGTTTTGTAAGCCCTTGATGAACACAGTGAAGGTCATAACAGGAAGATTCCATGGTGGCTTGTTGTTCAATCCTGAACGACCATTGTTTGTATTTGCCTCCTCCTCCCCCTCCCCCTCCTCTCCTTCCTCCTCTTCCTCCTCATCTGCCTTCCCTGCCTCTTCCTAGACAATTGCACCACACACACTACATTTGAAAATTAGGTCCTCATGTAACGTGATCAAAATTTTGACGATTTTGTCGATTGACTAACAAGATTGAAAATCATGAGATCATTAAACGTTCACGCAGTGACGGCTTGAACTGACATACGTGGAGAAACTATAGCAGAAGCCTCGACACATAGAGGGCGCCTACCTGTCGTGCGACAAGGGCTAGCATTTCACCGAGTGCAGCCACCAGCCTAGGGCCAACCCTCTCGACGCGATTGCAGTCGCGCGTGATCTCAGAAAGCAGCGTCACTGTCTGCAGGCAAACACTGACCTTAGCTATCAGTGTAGAGCAATCAACACCACGTTACTGCACCGTGAGGCGTGGCACACCACCGAAGTACACTGCACGTGTATGCGCCTGTACTATACGTGTGTGTATGTGTGTGTGTGTGTGTGTGTGTGTGTGTGTGTGTGTGTGTGTGTGTGTGTGTGTGTGTGTGTGCGCGTGCATGTGTGCGTG